CTCTATTTTGGGGGGGTTTAGGGTTTTAGTGTGCTTGTGGTTGCAGTTGTGGGCTGCAGGTTTTTTGGGGGGTTCAGGGCCGTGAAGGTTTGAGGGTTTGTAGCTTGGGGTTTAGGGTTTACCTGAACCCTAAACCCTAAACCCTAAACCCTAAACCCTAAACCCTAAACCCTAAACTTGAGGGTTTGAGGTCTTAGGACTCGGGGTTTAGGGTCGGCTGACACCCCTGCATACCTCAGCCGCAGCAGGCGCCGTGACGCTGGTGGCTCCTCAGGCAGCGCATGCTGAGGCCTGCTCCAACACCAAGGATGCCAGAAAGCCTTTTTAGGGTTTAGGGTTTCGGGTTTAGGGTTTGGGGTTTAGGGTTCAGGGTTTAGGGTTTAGGGTATTATGAGAAGTTTACAAGGCCTATTTTATAGGGGCCTAAACCCTAGAACCCCTTTTATAAGCCGTGAGTTTATAAGCCCTATAGGCACCTTAGCCCTAGAACCTCCGCCGCGTAGCTTTTAGTCTTACAGGGCGTTTCCTTCACATAGTGGTCTCCGATATCTCCCCCTGATCTAACACCGCGAGTTGCAGTGATTAGGTTGTTCCTCCTTGCGGTGGGGGGGTGTGGGGGTAGGCCATGATGACGGTTAGCTGAGCTTGACATGGATATATCTTTTGGAAGCTTCGAGGGTCCTAATCCCTTTGTGGCTGCCAACTCCACCCCAGTCGAAGGGAATGAAGGAACGGGATATTCTGTTAAGTGCAATTGCTGCTATTCCTTCAGCCCCTACGAACAAACAAGACGGATGTTTGACATGGATCCCTAAACCCTAAAGGTTACATGTTATATCTGTTGGTGGTCTCTTTAAGTAGGGTTTCTGTTTTGTAGGGGCAGATTCGGGGGCTACGTTAAGGCATAAGGATACAGATAAAGAGTGGCCGCCGGCCTTTATAACCCAAACCGGTTTGACTTCCTGCTGTCCTGCTACATGGTGAAGCAATTTAGGCTTTGAACTTTGGTAGCTTCAATAAACCCTTTTCGACACTTTAGGGTTCCGGGTTCAGGGCTTTGGAGTCTAGGATTTGGGTCATGAGTGCAGGGTATCCCCCCCCACATCCCTACACGCCGCTTGCAAAGGCTTCTCAAAAATCTAAGCCCTGGACTTCCCCCATCCCCTCTCGCCTTCCGCTAGCCCTAAACACCAAGCCCTCGGAGGGCGGCGCCGTGTGGATCCCTGCGCTCTCCGCCATCGGCGCTGGCTTCGCCATCGGCCTCGCCGCCATCGGCTCGGGCGTGGGCCAGGCAGGTGGACCAAAGTCCGGCTCTTTGGGGGTATGTAAAACGATAAGGCTATTCCACAAGAACAGAGACATTTTTTTGATCCCCGTACATCATCGCGCGCAGACCGCATGTCTTGGACGATTTCCTGCCTACAGGAGTTAGCGATCAGATCGATTGAGAACATGCGCTGCAATGGTGAACGTACAGGGTTGAGGGTTTAGGGTTTATAGGGTTTAGTGCCACGCACACACACACACACTACGATGGTCCCGTCGCGGTGGTGAAGCCTCTCAAAATCAAAAATGTTTTTAGTTGCAAGGGAGTGAACCCTAAACGTCGAGCCCTGATTTAAATCAGCCACGGATGTGCCAATACACCAGGGAATTGCCAGCGGCCGCTGCATTGATGGCATCTCTCGTCAGCCAGAGGCGCTCCCCTACCCTCTTCCTGCGGTGGTTTTTTGTGCCTGCTCAACATGCCTTACCCATAGACCGTTAGAAGCGATGTCACGGCACTATGGTGCCAGATGGCTTGGATGTGATTCATTGGGGCTCTCTGTGTTGATCCCAGGCTAAGTGGAACGGCTGTGCAGTTGTTCATGAGGAGCCAGGGGACCTCATTCAGCCCAAAAGAGGTTTAAGAAAAGCCTTAACAAGGACCCTGGGCCTCGTACGCCTCCCTCCCTCCCTTGCACCTCTCCCCTGGCTCCTTGTGCGTTGTAGTTGTACATCCGGGCATGACTTGCTAGAAGTCGTTTCCATCGACCTTCCCTAGTAAAACCCTAAACCCTAAACCCATTATGCTTGTTCTCAGGATCCTAAGCCATAACCCAACAACCTCTCATGGTTCTACAGAGACGGCAGAAGGTTGCAGACGACCTCCGCGGCGTCCTGCTTCTTGGCCAAGTTGGTTTAGGGTCGGGTTTAGGGTTTAGGGTTTCGGGTTAGACCGTTTTGCGGGTATAGAACTTCCTCTTTGTCATACTCTGCCACAAGACTCGGTGACTAAAGGCCAGTGCCAGCAACAAAATCACCTTCGGAAGCAAGCCCGAACGAATCCTAAACCCTAAACCCTCAACAGTAAACCTTAAACCCTATGAACCCTAAAACCTCAAACCCAGAAGCCGGACCTTTAAGTACCGCGCTCCTCGCTACTCACAGGTTCACTTGGGGGCTTCATGTGTTTGTTCGATACTTGCAGGGTGGGGCTCCATTTACCTACTATTTTTGGGGTATATTTTGGGGTTATGACCTGCTAGTTCGTAGGGTTTGGGAGTCACAGGTAGTATTTAGGTGTTGTGTCGAGGGGTCAGTGTAACCCTAAACCGGAACCCTGAACCTTCAAGCACAGCCAATTCTGAGCACTAACTAGGGGAGCGTCCAATCCTGGGTCCTAAACAACCCGAAACCTAAACCCCGCACCCCAAAACCCAAAGCCCTAAGCCTAAAACCTATAAGCCCCGACTCGGGTAGGGAAGGTGCAATTCGCTCGTCAAGTGGGCAGAGCGTCGTGTTAAAGCAGTTCAAAAAGATTCAAAAGAAAGTCCGCAAGGTTGAATTGCGCCCAGGTCCTGTACAATGTACAATGCTTTATCTGCTAAAAAGGCTTGACAATCACCTGGTTAAGCGCTGGACAATATACTTGACTTTCGTTCTCCTCTCAACTCACGGAACTAACGCAAAACCTGTTCTGAAAGGCTGAAGGCTCTGGAAAGCTCTGGAAGGGCTTGAAGCAGTAGTTGGGTCAAGGGGAAGCTAGCCTTCCAGGTGAAAAGCTGAGGCTGTGGGAGACTGAAAGGTTCCGGAAGGGGTGGAACAGGCAGGCTGGAGGCCTGGAAGGCCCTAAACTATGAACCTGGGATACCTAATCCTGAGCACGTGCGAAGGGGGAGCCATACCAAGCCACACCAAGCCCTGCTTTGTGCCCTCAAGCCTATCTGCACTCCCTTTTCTTACGCGCTTCCACTGAATCTTTAGCCCTGCCAATTTCCGGATATTTAACTCGAGGCGGGCCCGGACGATCCTTCACGTAGGTGGTGTAATACATCTTTTTAAGCTGGTTATATATCTGTGTGTTGAAGAAACGACGCCGTAGCATGGCGCAAGATCGACACAAAGGTTTTGAATTGTCGGGTGTTGAAGCCTGCTACAGCCGTGGGGAGCGACGAAACCAAGAGATTTGGGGAGACGATGAGGAGTGCTTGTTAGCATGGCGCAATATAAAGCTACACATACCTATGTCTACGAAAATGATGTACTATATGATATGTGCTAAACAATTTTTCTATATAAACATATATGTATACCTGTATGCGCATCATATGTGTACGCAATCTTTTCTTGTGCTTTTGAAGGTGAAAATTTCTGGGTCCCAGGCTCGAAAGTGGGCCGCGCAATCGAAAGTCGTTTTGGGGGGTGGGCATGGGCCCCGCAGATTCTGAATCCAACGTTTTTCCATCAGTGAGATCCTGGGATGATGAAGGCAGTCTTGGCAGTTGGACGATGTTGCATCTTCGATGTGCTTTTCTGAACCTCCGAAAAATAGGCGGCCTCTCAGGGTTTCGGCGCCTGGTCGTGGTAACACAAGTCTGACGCAGCTCAAACCACACATGAATCCGTGATCCGGGCACGCGCCAACCGCTGCCGTGACTTCGAGAGTCCATCATATACATTTGGTTCACGTGCGACGTGTGCCCTCGCAAGGCACCTTCTTTTTCGAGACCTTTGCAGCGTGCGCCGTTGAAAAAGCTGCGGGTGTGTGCGTTGGCAGCAGGTGAGGTGAGACGAACGGTGCAACTCAAGGATTGGGCACGCGTGCGTCGTAACTCATGACCTCAAGGTCAGGTTTCATGCAGCCATGCGCAGGACATAGGCTTAGAAACATGCAGCGGCCGACAATTGGCCGGATTGCTTCATGCAGATGATATCAGAGACACAGTCGGGATGCACGTTGCTGTGGACCAATGTAAGACTGCACGCTGCAGCTGTTTCTCCGAGTGCCCAGACTCTGGCGTCCAAGCAAGGAGGCCAGTTTTGGAGGTCGTTGGCTGCGCAAAGAATGTAGTTTTGATGTCCGAGTGCTTTACAGGTGCGGACTTCGCGAAGCCAATGAAGGAGGCCAGGTGCCCCTCTTCCAGCTTGCTTGCTCGTGATCCGCCGGAATGCGCTGCTTGAATATAACCTCCAGCCGTGCTTCCGCTATCTTGCGCCCGTAGCACAAGTTGGAGTGTGCCGCTTCGGCAGCTGCACAGGAGGTTCAGGATTTCTAGTGGCTAACCCAAAACCTCAAGCTCGCAGGACTGTGTGCCAAGCCCGTTGCAGTGTCTTTGCCTCAAGCCAGGCTCCAGAGGCAATGGCAGGGCTTACCGCGGAGCATGAAGTTGGCAGGACAGCCTGCGGTAGTCAGTGCGCGGCGTCAACAAATCAACCAAGGAAAAGCAGGCGTTTGTTACTATTTATCTATCTATATAGATAGAATATTACATATAGCATGATATAGTGTACAATACATAATGCTTTCTGCCTCGGGTGTCGCCCCAGGCTCCAAGATCTCAGATCGTTTGTCGAAAGCTGTTTCCGCGTACACTAAGCCCTTAACCCTAAGTCGCTAAACCGTAAGGGTTTAGGGCTTAGCTTAGGGCTTGGGGTTTGGGGTTTAGGGCCCGAAACCCTAAACCCTAAGACCCTAAGACCTGCGCCGCGCGCCCTGAAGGCTGTTGTCCCTGGCCTTCATGGAGTCCTTGACCATCTACGGCCTCGTGATCGCTCTGGTGCCAGCCTTGGGCGGCTCAAGAAACCAGGGCTTGTAGCATTGGGGGGGTGGAAAAGTTCGGGGCTTCACCTGCTCCTTATTATATCATTCTGTTGTTAACCGCCCTTTTTCCGGAGTTGTTTACAAAACTCCCTCCTACAGTCTGCGGAAATCCATCCCTTGCGGCTAGTGCTGTCTTCTATTCTGTTTTCTTGCGACAATCGGGGTTCGCTCGGATTAGCATAAGAACCCTATACCCTATACCCAACTGATTCAAGTCCGAACATCATGACACATATTTACATACATACCTACATACATACTTTCCAGCGTACTTACCGGTTTGCGAGGGGGTGGTTCCGAAGCAAATCCGAGTTTAGGGCTTCAGGGCAGTTGGCGGTGAACGCCTCTGCGAGGCCCTTCTGGCGGTTTTCCAGGAGTTAACACTGGGAGTCGAGAGGAATTTTGTGGCTTTTGGCAGGGCTTATGAGAAGCAAAGCCACGATGTTCAACCCATATAGAAACCCGAAACTCCCTAAACCCCGGTACGAGGTTTCCGTTAACTTGACCAGGTGCTGCTCTTCGCGAACCCACTGATCAAGTGAGCACGGTGGTGAGAGGGGAAGTTCTCCGACAAGAAGTTTGTCGGTCCTGACGAGTGCCAGTCCTTGGCCAACAAAGATCGCGTTCGCTTGTGCGCAGTTCTTTAAGTTATGGTCCCTTGTTGGGGTTCCCATTGTAAGACGCAGCCTCATATTCAGGGCACCGGAAAAGGGAACCCTAAACCCTAAACCCCAAACCCTAAACCCACTTCAAAACTTCGATCTTGGCCGTGCTCCGTTGTTTTCTTGCCCCGCGCCTCTGCGAGGTTGCTCTTCAGTTTTGCAGGTGGCACGCCAACTTGTTGGGAGGATCCCTTGGAACGCAATTCAAGCCACCTCAGCAATTGCTGAGTCCTTAACCCTAAACCCTACACCCTGTAAATTCCTGAACGCTTATCCCATAGCAGGCCCTGTTTAGGGGTTGTGGGTTCCCTTATCAGCCCCTTTTGGCCAAAAAAGGGTTTAGGCTGAAGCCCTTTGTGCCCTAAACCCGTTTTCTGCGTGAGTCTGGGACGTTCTTGAATGTTCAGTTGGTGGGGCTTAGGGTTAGGGGGTGCAAGGAACAGTGTAAGTTATCTAGGGCTGGGTTTACGTAGGTCTTTGCTTTATGCGGTTTAGCGTATGCACCTCTTGATCCGATGTAGCACACCCCCCCCGCCCCCCCCCCCCCCCCCCCCCAAACCCTGAACCCTAACTCTATGAACCTTGAATGCGACACCAAGCCGGAAACCCTACAGCCACACAGAGCCCCAAACTGCTGCCATTTGGGCCAAGCCACAGTTTTTGTCGCCACCGTCTGCTCCAGCGTCCAGCGCCTCCACCCGAAGCATCCCAAGCACCTCTTCCGGCGTTGGGGGGAATAGGGTTTAGGGTTTCAGGGTTTTTCAGGGGCTCAAAAGCGGCTTACAAAGGTTTCGAGCATTGACAAGGGTGGAGGGTTTTGAGGCTTAGAGTTTGGGTCCAGCAGGGCTTTTGGAGTTTAGGGGTTTTGGGGTTTAGCAGAATTCTCCTTCTTTTCGCAGGTTCGCGACCTTTCCTTAGTAGGGTTATGTCTAGGGCAAACTATAGCCAGACGAAGTAGGGTTTATATGTCTTGTAACCAAGGTATGCACTCACAAATACTTGAAGAGTAAACCTTATCTACACTCACCATAAAAACAGTAATATAAGCACTCACCAATATTTAAAGAGTAAACCTTATCTACACTCACCATAAAAACAGTAGTATAAACCCTCACCAATATTTAAAGAGTAAACCTTATCTACACTCAGCAAAAACAGTAGTATAAACCCTCACCAATATTTAAAAAGCAACCTTATCTACACTCACCATAAAAGCAGTAGTATAAACCCTACTTCATATCCTGTTGGGGGAGCTGATGCCCACTTGCAGCTGCTAGCGTGGAGCCTTGCTGTGATGAGCCCTGGAGCCCTCGTTTGGGGTTTGGGGTTTGGGGTTTAGGGTTTAGGGTTTAGGGAAGCTCTAGAAGCCTACGTAAAACCAACTGTGAACCTCCGGGGCTTTCTTACTGATTCCTTTTGGGCGATGCTCAGTGGCACCTTCTTCGTTTTTGAACCCAAAGCCCCAAACCCTGGTCCATTTCTTCACTGGCTGAGTCTTAAATCCTTTTTGAAATCCTTCAGCCCAAAACCCCAAATCCCCAAACACCTTGGACACAGTTTGAGAGCACGCCAAGTCGTACCCTTGTTCCTCTGCTATCAGGGTCAGGATCCCGTCTACAGCGGTTTGGGGGTTCAGGGTTTGGGATTTGCGGGTTTAGGGTTCAGGGTTTGGGGTTTAGGGTTTGAGGTTTGAGGTTTAAGGTTTACTGCGAAAGGGATTGTAGGGACGCAGGGTCTACCCAAGCACTCCACCCTAAACCCTAAACCTCTCTACCATATAACCCTAAATGTTAAACACCAATTGGAGAATTTGATCCATTTCTTTTTTTTTCACCCCCCCGTTGTTCAGCACCAATTGGAGAATTTGATCCATTTTGGCCCTCTGAACCCTTTGACCCCCCATTGTTCAGCACCAATTGGAGAATTTGATCCATTTTGGCTTCTCCGACCCCTCTGACCCCCCATTGTTCAGCACCAATTGGAGAATTTGATCCATTTTGGCTTCTCCGACCCCTCTGACCCCCCATTGTTCAGCACCAATTGGAGAATTTGATCCATTTTGACCCCTCCGACCCCCGTCAGGGAGGCTTCGTGGGGGGTACCCCAGGATTCGGTAAAAATGGCCCGATTCCCAGTTAGTTTTAAATAGAATTTATATAGCGGAAATGACCCCCTCATTTTCTAGATTTCTCTGGCCCTCTCAATGCTGGCCCTCTGAGCCCTTTGACCCCCCATTGTTCAGCACCAATTGGAGAATTTGATCCATTTCGACCCCTCGGACCCCTTGACCCCCCATTGTTCAGCACCAATTGGAGAATTTGATCCATTTCGACCCTTCCGACCCCTTTGACCCCCCATTGTTTGGCACCAATTGGAGAATTTGATCCATTTCGGCCGCTCCGACCCCCTTGGCACCCCCATTGTTCAGCACCAATTGGAGAATTTGATCCATTTCGACCCCTCCGACCCCTTTGAACCCCTTTGACCCCCCCATTGTTCAGCATCAATTGGAGAATTTGACCCACGTCGACCCTTCTGACCCCTTTGACCCCCATTGTTCAGCACCAATTGGAGAATTTGATCCATTTTGGCTTTTTCGACCCCTCTGCCCCCCCATTGTTCAGCACCAATTGGAGAATTTGATCCATTTTGGCTTCTCCGACCCCTCTGACCCCCCATTGTTCAGCACCAATTGGAGAATTTGATCCATTTTGACCCCTCCGACCCTCTTAGGGAGGCTTCGTGGAGGGTACCCCAGGATTCGGTAAAAATGGCTCGATTCCCAGTTAGTTTTACCCCTGAAATGCTGACCTCTCTAACCCTCCATGGTTCAGCACGAATAAGAAATTAAAAAGCTTTTATTTTCGTAATGTTATGGGATTCTTTGGGCGGGTGGGTTTTGTTCCGTTGCCTACACACACTGCTGGCCTAGTAAATGCTCGAACTTGAGATGCTGAACCCTAACCCTAAACCCTAAACCCTAAACCCGAAAGCCAGGATGGCCCGCTCTCTTGTTTTGACCGGTGCTGTGCTCCTGTGCAGCGGCCGGAGCCCCAAGGGACTCGAAGGCCTCAAGTCCTACGCCCCGAGCACCAACCGTAGTTAGGGTTTCGGGTTTAGGGTTTAGGGTTTAGGGTTTCGGGTTTAGGGTTTGGACTGCATTAGGAACCCTAAGCCCTGAACCACCCCGAAGCCCAATAAGCTCAACCTCAAAGCCACTCAAAAGCCGAACCGCCCGCCCACTTGCCCCGAAGCTCCTGGATTTGCCGCACGAAGCTCGGGATGTGTTAGTTGCTCATAAAGGGGAGGGACCTTGGGGCTTCTTAAGGGCTATTTCGGTACAGAGGGACCCTTACAAGGCAATTATAGGAGTCATATATGGGTTATATAGGGGAATAAGATTAAGGTTTACGGAAAAGGGACCCCCCAAAAATAGACCCCCAAATAAAGGAATTCCCTTAGAATCGGGACCCAAGAAGGTACCCCAAATCTCGTAAACCCCCGAACTACTTTTCCCTGCCCACCTATCATAAGGATGACTTGGTAAAAGGGGCCTCTTATCCCCTGGTCCAGCCCTTTGAAGGACCTCTACCCCTGCAAAGCAGGGGCTGTAAGATGCAGGCATCAGCCCATTCGAGCTTAAGGTGCAGACACTTGACAACAAACAAAGAAGAAGCCCAGATGTTACTACAGCATACTAAAAACCCTTACTTACCCTAAGCCCCAGACCTAGACCCTTTTTGAGAGTGATACACTACGGCCCGAAGAGGTCCCTCATAGCTTAGGTCTAGAAAAGCCCCAGCACCCTAAAATCAGTTGAAGTCTTCCGGCTTCCGGGCTTCTGAAACTTGTGCTCGCAGCGGTTCTTGATGCTCAGGGAGAATAACAAACTCCCACGAAGCCGTTACCTACACCTATTACACCCCTAAAGGCTCCCTTGAAATTGTACCAACCCTGAAACCCGCAGACCTTACAACTTCTCTCAGTAAGGCGCGCTCTTCACGGCCTTCGTGGCCGCGCCCCGCGCCGCCCCGGCTCCCACCGCGCCGCACGCCGCCACTGCGGCACTGAGTGGCGCGGCCCAATTGCGGCTTTTTGGGCGTCAAGGGTTTAAGCGTTTCTTCGAGTTAGGGGCTGAGGGTTGAGATTTGGATTTGGGGTTTGAGATGCTGGGGGGGGGGGGGCGATCGGATGATCTCTTCGGCGCCGTCTCTGCTCTCGAGCAGGTGAGGAGCTAACCTGAAGCTCTTCAGCTTGCAAGGTTGAGGGTTTAGGGTTTTATGGTTTCTGTTCCCATTCCATGCAAGTCCCATTCCATGCAAGTCTTTGAGTTTGGGTTTCGGCTCTAGAGGGCTTCAGCAGCAACGCACGGTACAGGGCTTCGGTCTTCCATTTTCGGCAAGGTTCTCTATAGGCCCTAAAACCCAAAGTCCAGAATTACAGAAATCGCGAAGTTCGCAGACCTGAAAATTCGCCTCAGCCGCACTTCCTTAACCTGAGGGGCCGGGGGGTGAGGCGTAGGACCTAAACCATGGGCCTATTTTGGTGTAGGGTTTAGGGTTTCGGGTTCAGGGTTTAGAGTCCAGAGGGTACGCAAGTCCATCTTTCCCAGGTGCCGTGACCCTGGTGGCCCCTCAGGCAGCCCATGCAGAGGCCCCGCTGTTATCGGGTCCCAAGGGAGTGGGTGCAAGGCTGGTAAGAAAACACAAGGTGCCCCAATACCTAGCCCCCATGAACCCCCCTCCCTTAAAGATCCTCCCCTAAACCCTGATTTACCAAACCCTAAACCCTAAACCCTAAACCCTAAACCCTATCTTTTGACCGCCTTTCAAGGCTGCCACCCAGGTCAAGGGAGAGTGGGCAGTTTAGGGTTTATAGTGCTTTAGGGCCTGCGGATTGAGTGGAGGCTACCACGGCTCTGCAAGCCCCGAAAATCCTGAAGCCCCGAATCCCTAAACCTTAAAGGCCCAACCCCAAAAAATCCTAAACGTGACTGTTTAGGGGTTGAGGGCACTTCAGCTGCAAACCCTTAAGCCTCAAAGCTCTGAAGCCCGAAGCCGCCTAAACCCTATAAACCCCCTAAACCCCTAAATAACCCTAAACGCCTAAACCCCTTGACCCCTAAACCCCTAAACCCCTAAACCCCTAAACCCCTAAACCCCTAAACCCCTAAACCCCTAAACCCCTAAACCCCTAAACCCCTAAACCCCTAAACCCCTAAACCCCTAAACCTCTAAACCCTAAACCCCCCAACCCTAAACCCTAAACCCCTTCACCCCTAAACCCCCAAAACCCTAAACCCCCCAACCCTAAACCCTAAACCCCTTCACCCCTAAACCCCCAAAACCCCCCAAACCTTAAACCCTAAAGCCCGAAACCCCTAAACCCTAAACCCCCAACACCCTCAACCCTAAGCCCCAAGAGCCCTCGCAGGGCGGCGCAGTGTGGATCCCGGCGCTCTCCGCCATCGGCGCCGGCTTCGCCATCGGCCTCGCCGCCATCGGCTCGGGTGTGGGCCAGGCCTGGCCTGAGCGTTTGGGCTTTTGGGCGTGGGGTTTCGGGTTTAGGGTTTACAGTTGTGGGGTTCAGGGTTTGGGGTTTAGAGTTTGGGGGTTTAGGGTTCAGGGTTTAGGGTTTAGAGTTTAGGGTTTGGGGGTTTAGGGTTTGGGGTGTAGGGTAGGGTTTAGGGTTTAGGGCAGGTTCCGAAGTTGCTCTGTCATCTTGGGGACAGGGCAGCCTGCGTCAATGATAGGGGCCTTCATTATTGAGATAGTAGCTGAGGGTTGTCTTTGTTCCTCCCCGTTTATCTCCTTTTTTGCAAGGTCGTCTGTCTGTCTGTCTGTCTGTCTGTCTGTCTGTCTGTCTGTCTGTCTGTCTGTCTGTCTGTCTGTCTGTCTGTAGATAGGTATGTTTGTCAATGTGCGAATGCCAATGCCAATGCTTATACAGCATATATATATATATATGTATGTATATGCCAACGCGAAGGCCAATGCACATGCCAATGCATCTGCAAGTGCAATGTATGTAAATACCGCTACACACACATATGTGCATGTCATACACGCATGCGCATGCCTCTGCATCACTAGTTCCTTGCCATGAGGGCATTGCCAGCGGCCGCTGCATTGATGGCATCTCCCGCCAGCCGGAGGCCATTAAACCCAAAACTCTCATTTGCGGGGGAGGGGGGCGGGGCGGGGGGGGTTTGGGCTCAGTAACTAAGCTGTGAAGTTTGAGTGCACAAGGGGATGCTGCATGCAACGGGCAGGTCAACCGCATGCTCGAGTTTTGCAGGAAGTCTTGGGGTTCCTGTTCAGATTGGCCGAAACCTGCAAAACTCCCGAACGTAGACAGTCAAAGCTCCCTCAAGCCAGTTGCGTTCGGGGATTCGCCTTTACAGTAGGGCAAGCCCAACGCCCTGACACATATTTCCCTAGGGAGATGTTAGGAACCGCGCATGGCCCCACACGACCACGCAAGACGGAAATCACCCACATGCCCCTTAGATGCAATGCTCTTTGGACGTTTGGGGTCATGCAGTAGGGTTCCCATGACTCGTGCAGGTGGGCACCCCAACAATCGTGGTTGGAAGGGGAGCGCGATGCCGGATGTTCATCATCACTAATAGGGTGGGTTTGGCGTCGGTTTCCCCCCCGCAGGTTGCCGATGACCTCCGCGGCGTGCTGCTGCCCGGCCGCAGATAGGGGTTGGGGGTTTTTCAGTGTTTAGTTTCGGTCTGCTCCGGGAGGCGTGTGCACTCAGGGTTTAGAGGGTTTAGGGCTTCCAGGCGTGTGTTGTTGTGGGGCTTTAAGAAAAAACCGGGTTACGCTTTGATGATCTTTTTTTGGTGAGGGGGTGGGGGCGGGGGGCTTTGGGGGGGTTGGGGGGGGGGGGGGGGTTGGGGGTGCGGGGGATGTGCGAGGGGGACGTGTGATCAGAAAAGCACCACGGGGGTTTGGGTTTTGGGGGGTTAAGATTTAGGGTTGTTTACAAGTTCTGGGACTAGGGATTTAGTGCTTTAGAGCCTTAATTAGTGTCGGCTTGTAGGGCTAGAGCTAGAGAATGTCTGAGTTTTGGAGTTTTAGGGTTTTCGGGGTTTAGGATTTCTCGAATTAGGGGGCCCCTGATTCCAAGCCAAGCGCGAGGCTCCTGTCCCTGGCCTTCATGGAATCCTTGACCATCTACGGTCTTGTGATTGCCTTGGCGCCAGCCTAAGCCAAACAGATGCACTGCCCGATGTCTCAATTCTGGGATCCTTGTCCAACTCAATGAATCGTCTTAAGCTTTTTACGTGTTGTTTGCCATCTCTTGTTTTCTCAGTAGCTGAAGCTCCATGGGCTAGGGCCAAGGGTTGGTGCTCGCAAAGTCCTGGTACTGGCGCAGGCTCTCCAGGCGCTAAACTGAAAGCCAAACACCAGTCAGAACACTCGGCTTTTGTGAGCTACTTAGAGCGGGACACACAGTCAGTGACAAAACCCTGACCGGACCAGCTGAAAAGAAACGGCACCAAACGTAAGCAGGTCTGAGTCTGAACCCTCATAGCTGCGGAAGGCTCTCTGATCAGATTTCGGAGTGACACCCAAAGCGATACCCAAGCGACGACAGTTTTGGAGCCTAAAGTGCCTCGGAAAGCCCTGGCCCATCCCAGCCCCCAAACCCCCGCGTGGCTTACGAGCGACCTGACACGCGCCCGTCATATTGCATGTTGCCACGTATCACATGCAGCACCCTTCAGCACAAGAGAACCAAGGCCATGGATGACCGCGGACACCTTTCATCCTTTGTAGGGTTACGGGATTCATGTTTCTTCGATCGAACCATGGCCTAAACGCTGACCCGATACCCAGAAGCCCTAGACAGACAAAGGGGAGTGGATTGGGTTCCCAAGCTCGCTATTAGGAGGTAGCTGGGACTCAGACTGCCGGGGGGGGGGGGGGGGGGGAGGGTTAGGGTTTAGGGCAGCTTGTCTCCCCGCCTTCGTATGCCTCCCGAGGTGCTCCTCTTCGCAAACCCTCTGATCAAGTGAGCAAGACGTCGGCGATTTGGAGGAAGTTCTCCTGAAATACCTAGTCCTCGCAAAGATAGAGCACGCCTCTGCAACAAGGCCGTGTCAACTCGACGACGGCCCGTCAAGCACGTGCGACAACGCTAAAGGAGCTCGCGCTCAAAGAAAGGGACACGGTGCAGAAGGTTCAAGGGTAGTATAGGGGTCAGAATAATTTCTCATGCCCTTGTGGTCCCTTTGTGATTTTACTATAACAAAACCCCCCCCCAAAAAAAAAAACCTATTCTAATTATTCAGGCCCCAAGGCCCTAGATGATTTGAAGAGTATTTCCATGTAAGGTTGTAAGTAGGGTACCTTACTCAAAGAGTAATAGGCTCCAGCCCTTAGGATGAGGGTTGCGGTTGTAACTGTGTTCAAGACACTGGCTGAGGTGAATATGACCCTACTTGCAAGTAGCCTTGAATCTTTTGGTGTCCTCCAGCCATCCTGGACCAGGATTTCTTTGGGTTTAGGGTTTAGGGTTTAGGGGTTTAGGGGTTTAGTGGTTTAGGGGTTTAGGGTTTAGGGTTTAGGGTTTAGGGTTTAGGGTTTAGGGGTTTAGGGTTTAGGGGGCATGAGCTCATCAGGCCCATTAGGCGGCATTGCTTCATTGATGCAGGTACACCCGTCCAACCCCCAAGCCCTAAAACCCTGAACCCTTCAAAGGGTATCGCCCTAAATCGAGGACCCCCCCACGCCCCCCAATCCTTCCTTATGCTAGGAACCCCTAGAATGGATACCCTCTTGTGTGGCAAACCCTAAACCCTAAGCCCTAAACCCCAAGCTCTTGACCCCTCAACCCCTCAACCCCTCAACCCCTAAACCCCTAAACCCCTAAACCCCTAAGCCCCTAAACCCCTAAACCCCCAAACCCCTAAACCCCTAAACCCCTAAACCCTGAACCTACATGTGTGGCAAACCCCCTACGATGCCTCTCTACCGCCTTGTCTTGGCCCAGATTAGTCGTTCCACGCCTTGCTCTTAGCGTTAAAGCACCACCGCCGGAATCATCCCAAGCAGCTTGGCGGAATTAGGGTTGCTTCGGGTTTAGGCTTTCGGGTTTAGGGTTATTTCGCGGCTATATATGTATATGTATATGTATGTATGTATATATATATATATATATCTTTATTTATTTATTTATTTATTGTTTTTTTTTTGGGGGGGGGGGTGCATGGATTAGGTGCTCAAGAGGTGTGTTGACTGTATTAAGTATCCCCAGGACCTTAACCCTCGCAGCCCCTGTGCTTCCCAAATCCTTATTACAGGAAGCCAACCCCTAATGTTCGGCAACTTCCAAGTCTGTGAGCCGTTTTAGCGAAGTTTTTCCTTGAATGTTTGTTGGGTTTAGAGTTCGGGGTTTACAGGGTATCAGTAAGGGAGGTTTCCAGGCAGCACCTGCCTGGTCAATCCCTGCACTCACAGATCTTTCCTCCTTCGACCTCAGGGTACCATGGTCATCACTTGTTTGGCCGTCAGTGTGTGCCAGTAATGGATGTTTAGGAATTCAGTTCTAAGATTTACATTTCGGGTCTTGGCCTCGGTGTCTTGACCCTCAACCCTAAGACCTAGTCTAGGCCGACTCAGGGGCTATCTCCTGCTTCCCTCCTGAAGCCCCATAGCCCCGAAGCCCAGAACACCAAAGGGTCACAACCCAACCCTTGAAAATTCACGCGCCACACTCCCAAGCACCATTACAGCCAAAGAGACTACCAATCGTCTCCAGAATAGTTGGCCCAAAGTTGTAGTTAATTACGTTGGCCCCCAAACCCGAAAGCCCTAAACCCAACCCCAGACCTCAATCTCCTATACCCCAGACTCTAAAAATTCCGAAAGTGCCTAAAGTCCCTAAAGCCCCTAAACCCTTTGTCCCCATGATCCCCCAAACCCCTTGAACCTCCAAACTCAAATCCTCTAATTCTCTGAACATCCTAAACCCATGTCCCCCAAACCCCCTGAACCACAAACCCTGATCCCCTAAGCCCCATAAATACCTTACACATACCTTATAAGTACCGCATAAGCACCCCAGAAGTACCCTATACCCTATGATACCTCCCCCCCTTTCAAAACCCTATGAGTACACTATGAATACCCTGTAACCCCTCTATAAATACCCTATAACCCTATATGCCCTATAAATGGCCTCTAAGTACCCTATAACAAACCCTTCAAGTGCCCTATAGATACCCTGTAGTTCCCCTATAAATTCCCTATACATAGACCTTAGGATGGCCCGCTCCCTCGTCTTGACTGGTGCCGTGCTCCTGTGCAGCGGCCAGGGCCCCAGAGCATGGCGGGGGTTTCGGGTTTAGGGGTTTAGGGGCCTAGGGTTTGAGGGTTTTTTGGGCTTTAGGGCATCGGGGATTTTGGGAGTTTTCGGGTTTCGGGTTTTAGGGTTCAGGGCTTTAGGGGTTTTTAGGGCCTTTAGGGTTCTTAGGGGTTTGGAGAGTTCTAGTTTTGTGTGGTTTCAGGGTGTTAGGGTTTAGTGGTTATGGTTTAGGGTTTTAGGGTGCTAGGGTTTGGTCGTTCAGGGTTAGGGTTTAGGGTTTAGGGGTATAGGAGGTTAGGGTTTTAGGGTGTTCGAGGTTTGGAGTTTTAGGGCGTTCGTGGTTTTAGGGTCTTAGGGTTTTAGGGTTCGGGGCTTAGACTTAAGGGGAAAGGGCACCTTGCGGTTTTGGGGAGCAACGTCATGTCCCCTTGATTGGGTGGAAGAGGCTCACATTCAGAGGCTTTAAAGACCAACCTACAGTCTGAAGGTTTTTGGGCGTTTTGGGCCAACAAAACCCTGATCCCAAAAGCCTAAAACCCTAAACCCCCCTAAGGTGCGCTCTTCACGGCCTTCGTGGCTGCGCCCCGCGCCGCCCCGGCCCCCACCGCGGCGCCCCACGCCGCCACCACCGCGGCCCTGAGCCGCGTGGCTCCAAAGGAGTCAGGGATCTTTGCAATCCCAAGGCCTGATATACATATATATATATATATATAAACCCTAAATCCCTTTTTAAACCCTTTCAAGCTCCACAAAGTTGTGGGTTTTGGGGTGTTGGGGGGCCTAGTTTCAGCCGCCGAAGAAAAACAGCTGTAAGCCCTAAAGCCTAAACACTTGTGAAACTCACCCTACTTAGACCCGCTAAGAGCTCCGAGGTCGTATCTTTCTTGCTTGTCGTAGTCTTTCTCTGACACCCTAGCACCCCCTGCGTATCCGCAGGCGCCTCGGGGCCCAATAGGAAAAAGTGCTGCGTAGTTGACCGCTCTAAACCAGCTCCTCCAAAACACTACACCCAGTACGTGGGTTGGCCCAGTCGTTCCTAGCATTTTGAATTCAGGGTCTGGGGCACAGCTGAAGACAAGCTTCTGGGAAGTTCGGCCGTCGATGTGCTCATCCCTTCTGCTGTGAACACTAGGGGTTGAGGGCGAACTTCAGGGTTCAGGGTTCAGGGTTCAGGGTTTAGGGTTTAGGGTTTAGGGTTTAGGGTTTAGGGTTTGGGCGAAGCTTCAGTAAGCAACGTTAGCAGGCACTTCGCTTCATGAATGTCTACCGCAACTGCAGGCGCCGTCACGCTGGTGGCCCCGCAGGCAGCTCACGCCGAGGCCTTCCGGGGTGCAAGTTGGAATTTGGGTTTAGGGTAACCCTCCCCTAAACACCCCTAAAAATTGGGTCGGAATAATTACTAATGGTATTCCCTGAAATACCACCCCCCCCCCCCCCCCTAAACCCTAAACCCTAAACCCTAAACCCTAAACCCTAAACCCTAAACCCTAAACCCTAAACCCTAAACCCTAAACCCAAAAAAAATCTAATTCTTCAGGCCCCTCTATATTAGGTAAAGCCGGAACCCCCGAAAGCTGCAATGCAGAGAGCCCTCAAGTTGCCAGCGTCGTCTTATCTCGCCTCGCGGTAAGATATAAGCCACCCTGGATACCCATTCAACGACCCAAAAACTCGCCTTTGGTCAGTTTAGGGTTAAGGGTCTTAGGGGTTAGGGTTCGGGTTTTTAGGGTGTTAGGGTTTTAGGGTTAAGTTTTAGGGTTTTGGGGTTTTTGGGTTTAGGGTTACACAACATGTGAGCCCTCAAGTTTTTCTTAGGGCGGCGCCGTGTGGATCCCTGCGCTCTCTGCCATCGGCGCCGGCTTCGCCATTGGCCTCGCCGCCATCGGCTCGGGTGTGGGCCAGGCACTGGGGCTTGGAGGTTTGGGTGTTAGTAGATGTTTGGTTAAGGTTTGATGTTGTGAGTTCTCTTTTCGTAGCACCTGAGCAATGTTTCCTCAACGTCTCCTCTAGCCGCAATGAAGGGTGGTTCTTCTTTATGTTTCGTTGTCGTTAAATTGGCTCGCATGCTCATTCTGAAAATATCTGGCTGTTCATGGCATCATTATCGCCATCGTAGGTCGGGCCTCAGCGTGCACAGACCAAGGCGTCGGCATGTTGCTGGACACACCGGTGAACAAACATCTCCTAAAGCCTGCAAGCCTCGTCTGACTTAAGGTAAGTTCCTAGACCCCAAAGCCCCAAATATTAGATGAACCCTAGAAAGCCTCAACTTAGCATGAATTAGAGCGTATTCCTTGACCCGAAACCCGAAACCCTTAACCCCATTAACAGTATGAACCCTATCAATCCTATCAATCCTATCAACCCTATCAACCCTATTGACCCCATTGACCCTATTGACCCTACTGACTCTATTAACCTTCCACTCTATTAACCCTGAACCGATTCGGGCTGTTTTGGCAGGGCATTGCCAGCGGCCGCTGCATTGACGGCATCTCCCGACAGCCGGAGGCCTTTCTCCTGGATATCTATGCCTTTTGGGGGGTTCAGGGTGTAGGGTTTCAGGGTTTGGGTTTTTGTTATGGTTTTAAGGTGGAAGGTTTAGGTAGGGTTTCCGGAGTCAGGGTTTAGGGTTTTGCGCGCCTGAGGTGTTTTGGGGTTCTGGAGCCCAAGGAGCACCATAGCAACAACCCTAATGAGGATGTGGCT